TAAAATAATCTACGGACAAATATTTAAACGGACTCAATTATACGAACCGACCAACCGTCCGTGAAAACAGACGGGAACACAAAAGCGACCATAAACTCGGAATAGCAAGACAAAATGTGAGTCCCTGAGCGCGTTCGCGTAAACAGTTTTTCCGCTGTTTTCGTGTTCCAAAGGGGCTCTTTTTCTCTCTATGTATCCCTCTCCGTGCATTACAACACCGTTTCAACATTTTTTTTTCCATTCTTCTAAATGCCCGCCTGTTTACAGACCCTTCGTGGCGTTTCGTCTCGCCCCGGTCCCGTTTTCCCGGGTTAATTTTAAGTTGGTAACGGCGTCCCCCACCTCGTGATCCAGCCGCTCTCTTTCTTTCCAGCTCGTGCAAACGTTTGCTCGTATGCACGGGCCCGTGGAATGACAGAATCTCCGGCGTGGATAAACAAACAAATATAAGTTTTTGCACTCTTCGCTCTCGCAACGCGGCTGTATTCCCATGGCTCTCTTGGAGGAGGTGGAGAGGGTTTGAGGTGGCCCCCCCCCTTTTTCCGCGTGTTTACGCGCGAGCACTTGATCTCGATTGCGAGACGGAACGAACCACGTGGAAAGGGACAAGGTTCACTTGATATACGGGGTGTCCCGTTCTGACACGAGTGTCTCGAATTGCTCTGTTGTTTATAATCCATCCGTTCAACAGTCAACTTTCAAAACCCATCGTCAAGACCTAATCACAACAAGAAAGACTAGCAATCTCCGACCAACGTCGATTCTATAAAAAAAAAAAAAAACACGAAAGTGCAACCCGGCTTCGTTACATGTTCCTCGACGGACCCAAACGGCTAGCTTGTAACAAGGGAACGGTATACCATTATTTGAAGTTCCAATTACGCGACACGCGAGGCAACCCGTACGGGGACACGCGTCAGCCTCTTCCCAGCTTCCAAACGCTGACAGAAGGGAAGCTGCGAAGGGAGGTCGAGAGAAAGGGGAGTGGGGAGGGGAGGGGCTGAAGGGTAAAAGACCGACGTACCAGCAATCAGTAACATTATACGACGCGACACGAGCCAACCACCCCATTAGCATTCATATTTCAATTTCATAGCCCTAAGGCTGTCGGTGGGTAGGAGATCCTGTAAGGCTGCCTCGGGGTGCGAGACGAGGATAAATAGAGGTTCGATGGAAAGGGAGGCTCGAGTCGATCGGAGAAAGACGGAGAACCGTGGCGAGGGGAAAGAGAGAGAGAGATGATACGAAAGAGGATTACGAGTAGGGAGGGAGTGATAGAGAGAGAGAGAGGGACGCGAACAACGATGATGAAAGGGCCGAAGAGGCGTGTAGCAATGGGAACGATACCCTCGCGAGTAAGATCGACGATCTAGGTGTTTCACTTCACAAGTAGAATCGATCGGTTATTCGAGCTCCGCGAAGCGTCGACAGGTGTCGGTGATTCGGAGGAGCTTACGGAATCGGTACATATACAAGTCGTTTTCAATCAGTTTCAGCACATTTCTTTTCACCAAATCTTTGCAGAATACTGTTTTCCTTCTCCCTTTAATTATCAGACCAGGCTCCATACTTTTGGCTGACAGTATATTACCAACGACTTCTCGTTCATGTTTTCTCTCTATACATTATATCAAAGAATAATTCGAAAAAGCAACACTACCACTTTATTAATTTCTAATACGTACCGCTACGCGTTCACGCGTCGATTGAAAATATGATTCGTAAACGTTAATGGAATTAGTCCCGTCGCTAGCTAGGCGTGGCGGGTACGAAAAGTGGGGAAACATGAACGGAGAGAGAGAGAGATAACTAGTACCGATGGAAACCTATTACCATCTATCTCAATGCCGGTGTAATGGATGCGCAGCCCCCTCCCCCCTCCGATTATCAATCCGTAATAATTGTGCATATTAAACGGACGCTAATTATCGGGCCGGCGCGGCGCGGCGGCCGCGGGCACCGCCGGCAAATTGCGCAAGTTATGCTGGGTGTGTAACGCTGTTAAAACACGACCCATAATGACGGCACGGAAAAGAGCTACGGCGAAAAGATAATTACGCTGGAAATCACTCTCTGCCCGAATATAGCGCGCGCGAGCGAGCGGTCGCCGCCTCTCTACAAGCCTCCCCTCCGTACCCCCTGCCTCTCCCCTATATCCGCCATTGCGGCCGCCGCTGCTCCGAGTCAATTCCCCCGTGTCGAGTTTTATAAAACGCTCGGGCGTATTAATTAATGATCGTTATCGATCGGCTCTCGCGTCGACCGAGTTTTATTTCGTACAGTCGAATAACGCGACGGCGGCCGATTAATATCGCGGACATTATTATTCACCTCGAGTGTCTTGTTCGCGCGATATCTGCAACGATGCACGATCGATCGTTAACTGAACACGGTATTCGTGTTGGGTTGCGTGTAGCGTATAATTTTTTTTACGGGCAGTCTATCTTGAAACTTACAGTATGTTATTGAGGGCTTGGGTTTGGTAATGCCTATTATCATTTCATTCTTCGAATTACAGCGAGGTCCACGTAAATGGCCACGAATTTGTCCGCGTACAGTAAATCATCGATGAGTGCTCGAAGGCTCCTCGGTGTTGACAAGGAGAGTTGCTCGGGTGTAACGCTGACTTTTTAACGAAGCCTAGCACAGTGATAGAGCTTGGAATTATGACCCAAGTGATATTTGTTTCAGCCGAATGTGGTCGTCAGTTTATGAAATATTTAGTGTTCAGAGTCGAGGAACCTTCGAACACTTATCGACGATTTACTGTAGACGGACATCACTGCATATAGTCAGACACAATTCTAATTTGAACTCGGTGTTACCAATGCACTATTTTGTACGCAATGGTACCAATTCACTATTTTGTACACGATGTTCCATGTAATTCTCTGTCCTTTGTCTTCACATCACCAGGCACAATACAGTGAACTTCACGTCAACTGAACGAACTGCAACCGACGTGGTATTACATCTCCACGAAACAATTCCTTCGAACCTAGCGACGAAGGAAGGGAACAATCTTGAAACTTAACGATTGCTCGGCCCGAACTCAATTATCGTTCCCGTGCACAAGGTGCCCGTTAATTGGACGTCAAAAAATTCTCAATCCCTTCTCTATATCCGGTCACGAACCCCTCCCCAACCCCTTAACCGATCACCCCCCTCCGCGGTTATTCTTTTTATTTCCCCTGTCGAAAGATCGTCGACGCGGCGTGAATTGACCCGGAACCAGCTTAGTCCGCTTCACAGCCCTCCTCTTTCCGATTCCCCCATGCGAATCGTCGATCCAGACGGAGCACGGATAGTTCGCCCAAATCGATTTACCCCGACACGGAGGGAGAGACTTCTTCCCAGAGATCGATCGTGAAACGATCCTGCTGGCCACTCGAGATCGCGAAGCGACGCGGGCCGAACACTGTGGGCCTCCAGCTTTTTTCTATCTCTCTCTCTCTCCCTCCCCCTCGAAGCCTTTTTTGCGAAGCCCCGGAGCGCTTTTAATAAACGCGCCCCGCGCCCAACAGCCGCTTTATGCTATCAAAGGTGGGGTAAAGGGCGCGAGTAAAAGAGGGAAAAAGAGTCGGTGGAGCTAGGGGTTTGGGTGACGAGAGTAAGGTAGAGAGGGTGGGAGTAACGGCAGAGAAGAACCGGGGGTTGGTGCATTTGACGACGAGCTTTTTACGGCCCTGTGTTCCGGTGTTCGGGCTTTTACGTCCATTTCAGGTTTCCTCCTCTTCCCTACCCGGTGCTGATCCACAGACTTCTCTCGCTTTTTGTCTTCTTCCAGCAGGCCTGTTTCCCTCTTTTCATTCTTCACTCACCCTCTCGCCAAACCCGCACGCCCCTATTCACCTGTTCTTTTTCCTTCTCTCGCGCGCTCTCTCACTCTTTCTTTCCTCCATTCAACTCCATTCAGTCGCGTCTCTTCTGTTTCCGTTCTCCCCCCTGATGGCAGAGAGGATCTTCTCCGTCCGCGATTTTATTTGCTCCCCCACCGGGCCGTCCGCCTATTCACTGGAAGCGCGAGCCGCACCGGCTCTAATTTCTTTTATGAGATGAAACTCGACACGGTCCAAAGTCGTTCGCCGGCTGACGGAACACCGGTCGCCTCCCCCATTCGACGTGGTCGATCCTGTATATCGTTTGGATCACGGCTAACCGGAAGCCCGAGGGGTTTTCGGGCGACACGTGAGACCCCATCAACCACAGAAAACTCTGTTTGATTTTACGAGTATGTACCTATATCATTGTCACGTGTGTTTTGTAATGTATTCGCCTCTGAAGTTTCAGTTTTTCGCTTTCTTTTTATACGAACACTGTGATTCTTGCCTGCGTCACCTGTACTCGAAAATAATGTGTCATCTGTGGACATATTTACGCATTTATCCGCGTCCATTAACTTGTAAAGTGCTATAAAGTATGAAATTTTAATAATGTTTAATACTATTCATGTATTATTATTAAAATAATAATGCCTCTAGTACCGAAATAAAAATTCTGTCTCATTTTAAATCAGTTTATGTAACGACGCGCTGTGCATTGGAAATTGTAATAGAAATCAATCGAATTCAATCGTTCGACGTGACTGCATGACCAGCTGACGTTTATTGAAAACTCGCGAAAGGGGGATTCCATGGTATCGCGCGCCGAGCATAGACGAGCGGATTAAATCGGATACACGAGGCGGAAATCGAGGTGCAGCAAGATAATAATTCGGGATTAAACGTTGAACCTGCGCGCGTATTTGCGCTCCGTGTCTCCGGAAGCGAATTTCGCAAAGGGGAAGGAGATTCAAGGTCTTTTAGATGAGATTATCGTTTCGTCGCTTAAAATTAGTCTTCCAAATTTGGGATTAAACCAAGTCATCGAGATGGATCGAAACGGATCTCTGGACACTACGATACCAGTACTTGTTGTTAATAAATAAATTAAACGATTGATTGTCGATTCACGGAATCGAGATCGACTGTTGTATAACGATTAATTTGTTTGATACTCACATGCCTCTCCTCGGCGGGATTTAGACCTAAAACAAAGAAAACGAGCTCGTTAGCTTTTACATTCAGCTTTTTATGCAGATTAAGTTTAATTTCATTTAAGTTTCAATTTCACCCAAGCCAATATTCGATCAGGTATTTAAAAACTATTTGCTAGATTAAGTAGCAGGAAGTTTTAAAATGATGCCTGGAGATCGTGTTTAAAAAATTCTGAGAAAATGTTTTTTTTTTTAAGATACCTAAAATTATCTATACCTAAGTCATCCTCAATGAGGCATCAAAGATATTTTACTTCAGAGTCAAATTCTGGGTCAACTTGACCCAGTGTAATAACGGAGGGTTAACGACAGTGTTTTTGAGAAAGTTTGCATTTTACATAAAACTGTCATCATGGTCTCTCCATGGACAGTCTTGAAAAATGAAACTTCCACTTCGTATTCTGTTAACACACGAATTTTCACATACACCTGTGTAATCAATTCCATAAGTTCAAATTGCCTTTACTTCCTAGTCCTTCGGCATCCGAGACATTTCGATGCCTCTAATGGGTAATCCAGTACGCAGAAACCGATCCGACGTGGTTTACGTGTTCCCGGAGCAAAAGTGACTCGTGTAGCTTTTACGTACGACGGGTAACAATAGGAGGAAGAAGATATCGTTAGGATATTTCCTGCGAGACAAAGTGTACCCTACCCTACAAAAGGGTGTAGAAGGAAGGAGGAGGGTCCGTGGGGCGGAAATCGAGCGAGGGAAAACTATGAACCTGGCTTCTCGAGGACAAAGCTTCTCGTCCAGGATCCTTCCCCGACCCTCCACTCTTCGCCCCGTCTTCTTTCCTTTCATTCAACGTCTCTTCTCGGAAATCCTCGAGAAGTCTAGCTCCTCTTTCGACCTCTACCCCCGGCCCCCATCTTTTCTTTTATCTCGTCCCTTGCGCGGAAAAGATTCTACCGGCATACCGCTGACTCCGTTCGAGTTAGTTCCGCAATAATCATGGAAAACATTGTGAGGGTTCAATTTGCCGGGAAATACGACGGTGGGTCCCTCTTTGGAAGGGCTTGGTCTCGTTCGGGGTGTGTACCTCGAGGAAAAGGAAGGACTCGGGAAATCTATTGGATTTACCTTTATTAAATTCGATTGTCGACTGTAGTCGCGATTAATTCTTTCAAATACTGTAATGCATATTAAACGAAAATTGTTTTTCCTTGCGAATAAATTAGGTAAACCTGTCCTTTGTGTATTCACTTCATTTTCATGTTCTAATCCGTTTATTCGTTAACTTTCAGAATATGTAGAGTACAGCTCCACAGATAATTAATTAGCAGACTATTGTACATGTTTTTGTAACAAAATAAGTGATTAACTTTTCAGTATCAACTACAGTTCCATAACGCTTATGTTAAACAGAAATTTCTATAACGTTCCTTCTTCAAGATCTCGTTAAATTTTCAACCAAATTAATAATTTCCAGTTCCCAGAGCCACGCGCCCCAAACAGGACACTCCTGGTACGCCCAGGACGGCGAAAACTCGCCGCCCGTAAACCTTCCGCGTACCGCCATTTACAAATAAAGTAATTCCCGGAGTGCGCGTTTTACACGCCGCGATAAAACATATCCGCCGGTCACGACAGGGGGTGAGGGGTGGGGAACTTACCCCGCGGTGTTTTATGGTGCACCAAATTAAGGAAAAGCCGTCGCGCGAGCTGGCGAAAGGATCTCGGCCACTGCCCCCCACCCATTACCAAGGGGTTGTTGCGAAGGGGGATGTGGCTGGCGAACGGAGGGATGAAGCAGTGAATTTTCCACGGCGTGGACTGTATCCAACTGTGGCTCTACCCCCACGATGCGTCGAGGGACGAAGACGGGGAATCTGGCAACGTTCACCTCGCTCGCGAACCTCGGATTAATATTCGTCCCTTTCTCGTCTCTCTATTCTTCGGCCAGGGGAAGGAAGGAACGTATTTCCTACTAAAACGCGAAGAGCTCGTTTGCCACGACGACGGGAGGGGGGTGAGAAGACGGGGAGAAGCGCGTCTGTGCATCTTCGTGGAGACGCGTTCAACGCGCGCTTCACCACCTTTGGGATCATTAAGACTGGGGAGAGAAATATCAGCGGTGGATGAGCGTCGTTCTAAAAGAGAATTCCACAAGAGAAGGGGAAAGATTATGAATGTGGGTGATGAGTGTGGTGTGGATTTTGTGAAAGTCCTCTCTCTTAGCATTGATTTCCAATCTAAGCGAGGGTATTTAGTATTTTGTTTTGTTGGAACATTGTAATGTGAAATGATTTTTCTAACAAATTTATAACCTAGAAATTTGAAATATTTCCAGCTGACAGGAAAATATCACTGTATAATTGTGGTAGATCGCAGACATTATGCGTTATAATTTTTCAACAAATTACTCCTAAGCACCGTTGATCGGAAATATATGCTGGCTTGTAGATAGTTTAAAAATATAAAACACGGTACATCAACTGCTATCAACTGCTGGAGACGACTAAATCTCTACTCTGGATCACCAGTCAGATATACGTAGTAGGTATTCCATTTCTGTAGTCGCGTTATTCCGGACTGGCAATGCGATTACAGAGAATAATGGACTCGATGCTGCGATCGTTTCATCGCTTAGCGCTATTCAATCTATCTATCTTGCTGCCTATCATCAACCAGACTCACGTCACGCATGGAACCAGCGAAGCGATAATAGCGAAATCGACAAAGCGTGATTATCGGAAGGGAATACTATACTACGTGATAATTTAAAACAAAAAAAAACACGACTCTATCTAAAAAAGAAATAACCTCCACGAAACTCGACTTCGTTCATTATCGTATATAATAAACTCTCCCATTATCAGCATCGCTAATCGCTGTATAATAAAGAGGCGCGCGGAATCGTTATTTCCGCAGGCGAAGGATCCGGCGGCTGGACCGATCGCCCTGGTGAAATTCAATTTGCCTCCGGGGGGATTCGACCGGTTCCGGCGCATTGTCTCGTCGAATTATACAGCGATTACGTTTACGTAATTTATCGCCGTTCGAGCGGGGCGCTCGTGCAACGGCGCTTCCGGAATACCTGGAACCAAAGGAGCGTGAACACCGCCGCCGCTCGCCCGTCCGCCCGCGATCGTGGAATAAGTTACGCCCGGTTTAATGACCCGATCTCGTCAGGAAAGCAAACTGTTGGCTCGCTCCAGACATCGAAGAAGAACAGAGAGGGGGGTTAAGGAGGAGGAGGAGGAGGAGGAGGAAGAAGAAGAAGACAAGGCTCGAAGGAGGGGTAGGAAAAAAAGGAGGACAATATCCGAGAGAATTACGAGAAGCGTACACGCTCGAGGGAACCAGGGATGATCCTCTCGAGGGACCATTACTCGCGCAAATATCCACCGATGAAATGGTAATGCGAACAGTACCGGTTTCTAATCGTCTGTAAAAGAGGCCGACCGAGTCGAGTTACTTTCAGCCCGTGGCCTGGTAAATCGTTTCGCGAACCAGTCGAAAGAATCGGATGAATGGGACAGGGACGAGGGGAGGCAGATATTACGTCGGACGTCGGAGTTAGTCACGGAGGGTGAATCTGGACGGTTGAAGAGGGGAGAAAGAGATGGAGAGTCAAAACGATAACGACCCCATGCTGGAAACAATTCGCCGGGAGCAATGTTCCGGAAAGCGGGGAAGTAGTTCCCCAGTTGCCGCGACAGAAATAGTGGCCCATTACGGGTTCCTTGTCTCTTCGATGCTTCCACGTTTCAAAAGGGTGTCGACGAGGTTCCTCTACCTCGTTTCACTGGGAGTATACACTAGTTTCGACGATGATTTCGTGTGTCGCGGGTTCCCGTCGCGATGGAGTCGTCTGGGGGAGGACGGAGGAATGTAAAACACGACGTGGGGGAATGGAAAACGTTGTTTGGGAGCGAGGAAATGGTATACGATATGTTCGGGGTTGTTTCTTCTGTTAAATCTTTGATAGATTCTTGAATTGGAGAATCAAGGTCATCAATTGGACTTGAGTGTTCAATCACTCGAAGAGGATAGGAGTTGTTTCTCGAACAACGAAGATTAGTCCGCGATGTTTGTTCAAACTCAATTTTTCGCAGATTAATTTACCAAAAGAGAGATTAAGGGACGGTACTTGCTTTCCGAAGGCTACATTAGAAGACGAAAAAATTCAGACGGATATGTGATTGTTCGATTAAATTTCGTTGAAATTTCCAGTTTGTTGTACATACATATTTCGTATACAGTAAAGACTCCATGGGAGCTGTATAGGAATGATGATATGTAATAAGGATGATTGTCGAAAGGCGTGACAAAACTGAGCGCAATCGAGGATATCGAACCAGAATTCGAACCGGCTGAGAACCATTCGGGAGAGCGTGTTTCCGTTCGGTTGACGACGATCGTGTACCACACGTGGCCCGATCGCGGTGGAATTTCCTGCGGGACCGCAGCGATGAAGTCAGGTGGTACTGGTTCGGCGGCGTTACGAAGATCGTCGGTAGCCTAGGATCGGCGAGAGGGGAGGTCGGTATTTCATTACCGCGTGGACCTCCCGACAACCGCTCGGAAAATGCGAAACAACGCGGAACAACTGCCCGGGAGGTTATACCCCCTTCCTCCCCTGCGGTAACACAGTTAGGCGGAGAGTGAAGCTCGAGATATTGCTGCTGGAGCAAGAGAGACATGGGAACGGGAGGAAGAACGTAGAACGATGAAAACGGGCGTGGATAGAAGAAGAGACAGACGGGGACAAGGGGGAGAGCGAGTAGGAAGGATGAGAGGAGAACAGGCTGAGGGGCGCGAAGGTTTAGAAGAGCCACCTAGAGGTGGATGGAACGAAAAGGGAGGAGGGAAAGGAGGGAGGAGTCGGAAGTACTCTCGTGTCAAGAGGAGATTCTGAGTGCTCTCCTGAGAGACGACCATGCACAGCGCAAGAGGGGAGCCAAAGTGAGAGAGAGTGGGAAAATGGGGGTGGACGAAGAAAGAAAGAGAGAACTGTACGCGGAAGACGGGAACCAGAGCGAGACGCGAGTTCGGCGAAACGCGAGGGATGAGACGCGATGAGCGAGCAAGTATGTACGCGCGCTCCTCTTTCTATGTATGTGTGTACGTGCGCTATATAGAGATAGGAGAGTCACTTGAAGCCCTCGCGACTTTGTCAGCGCTACATGGAGCCTAAGTGCGAACGTTCTTGCACTCGTATGTCGTTCCAAGGAGGGAGAGAGAGGGATGACGAGGACGCGCGCCGTGGCAGAAGTGGATCTTCGAGGTCAAGATCGAGGGGTTCTGCGAGTTTCAGGCTTAAGCACGATCGTTTGCGTCACCGTCGTATTGCGGCCCGGATGAAATATCCCCCGTCACCCCTATATAACGTGCCCCCCTCCCCCCAAAACACCTGTGTTACCACCAATTTTCTCGGCACTTGGTACACTTCATGCCGGATGGAACAACGTGATATGCTTGAATGGCATCCTCGCTCTTTCGCAATCTTTCGTTTTCACACTTATCGGATATCGTTAATAGGTGTTCGCCTATCGACACTTGAACGTTATACACCTCCAATTTTGAAGATTGTACGTGTAACTATATTTGATTTGAAGATTAGGGACCAAAAGATACATGTGCTTGATCATAGATCGTACAATTACGCGGTTGCTCCATTTCCCGGGGCCCGTCTAGCGTCAGCCTAGCCCTATAATACAGGATTGAATATCGATGTAACTATAACGAGGTCAACGCGGCGTAATTATAGAGAGGGAATACAGAATTTCAACATTGACTGTGTGTCGATCTGCTCAACGTATTACCACCATAATGAGCATATAACCACCAGCGGAACTAATCGAACAATAGTACCAGTGTACGTTCCAGCGAAGATCAACGATAACGATAGTATCCAGACTAGGCAGCTCAGCCGTATTATATTACAGCGTATATGTATATACGATTGTTTGACTTCGCCGTAACGGACGTGGATGAACGCCACGTTGTTTGTTTGCGAGGAATATGGCAGAATACATCGTCGAACGGTCCCATGGGGATCTGGTGGCCGGTGGCGCGACTTCCCATACCCGGTCGTGATAAGGTCGTAGAAAAACAAGTGGCCGGGTTGCAGGAAACACGACCAACCGAATGAGCAATACTTCTGCGAACCAGACCGCTGGCTGGCTGGTCGCTTGGTTCGATACGCGAAATATTCGCGGACGGGAGACGCTGATGCACGCGAAAAAAAGCACCGTGAGACACGGGGTAAGCGACTTTTGTAAATCGAACCAGCTACGTGACAGGTTGCTCGTATCGTGTACCACAACGGCACGGTGGCCGAGCGATACCGGGAATTTTTTTTTTTGAGATTTTATCGCCGACACTTTGTTGTTCCGATACGCTTCAACGATCGAAAGGATGGATCGCGGTTACTCGACGATATTTACTTCTTCTGTTCGTATTAAGTGCGTGGACCTGATAGCGGTACGAGTTCTGGGAAAATCTAATGGATCATCATCGGTTAAATGAGACACGTTCGACTCGTTGCACATACGATGTGCTTTGATTCGAAGAGCCTTTAAGGCTCCCATAGGCGATACGATTTCTCGTACAAGTTGCACAAGGAGGTACACCGACTGTTCTTCTTTGTATTATTTTAAAGTGAAATTGTATTCTGTTATTAAATAACAATGAATAATTTGTATGTGCTAAGGGAAAAAGTGAGGTAGATGAAGGACCTCCTACCATTTAGTTTTGGGAGTTACTGAAATTTATGCCAAATTAACATTCACTTTAACATTTATTTCAGTACTTGAAATAAATTTACTAAGTGGTAGGAGAGTTTTCTTCTATAGAGTTTTCTCGTGAGAGTACGACAAATCATATCGTCAATGGGGAATGTAAAAGTCTCATACTGACATACTCTGCGTTTGTGTTATCGGTCCGTGATCCGTTTAGCAAACGTTCCAGTAAACTACCTTTCTCCATCAGCCTGCGACTTCAGCTTTTTGTGTATTGCTCGCAAGCTGCAAGGAATGTCCTCGCTCACAAAGGTCGGGGCATAAATCTCGAGATACAGATCATCGAGGGATCAAAAGCTGAACTAACCTCCGTTTGGCTTCAAGTCATCAGGCTGACCCCGATGGTGGTCCGGCTTGGTCAACATTGGAAGTGGATGGGCAGCTGAGCCTCCGGCGGTCGCTGCCGCGCCCGGTGGTATTCCTAATCCCAGAAGGGCCGCGGAGGCCGAGGAGGGAAGTCCAGGTCCAGGAAGCGACGGCATACCTGGATGAGGCCCTATCGCGGCGCCTGGCGGAAGCTGAGGCGCGTGCATCTGCTGCAGCAGCCTCGGCAGGTCTGGCCTTTGTTGCTGTAACGGAACCATCGAAAATTCAATTTCATCTGGGATTCACCGAAACGCGAAATCTTCCCTCGAACATACCGATTCTTATCGTTTAATTTCTAGAGGAAAAAAATTGTGTACGAATTACATCTTAACGGGCGGGGGTTCAACTGGGGTTTCGAAAGTAACCGAGGACGTGGAATCCAGCAATCTAATCGTGTAATAACAGGCGATAACACGTAGTCGCGATAAAACTCGAAGGCGAGATTGAATCGGTGGGCAGAGGTGACATCATTGACGACCGATGAAACACGCTTCCGACTGTCCTTATCGTAATCGTTTGATACACCGGTCGGGAACTGGCTGATATCGAAGACACATCGGTTTATCGGTTACAACGAACGTTAACCAATCGACTGCCGTGGTGTATCTTTACACGTAGGCAGACTACTCGAAAACTTCTGATACTTCTTCGTCGATATTTATAATTGATGAAACTACCCTCTCCGATCATTACTCGAACCGGAACGTCCGTTCGGGATTCGTTACGAAAATCTCTCCAAACGACCAGGTGCACACAAATCACAGGGTGAACTTTTACTGGCAGGCGTTTAAATAAGCCTCGTGTCCCCGGCAGGGTATTCCACTGGGTAAATCTGAAAGTACGGAACAAGTGGCGGGACTTTGCACCACAGGCTGTTTCCGGGCGAGCGCGCGACGGGGAAAAGTTTCGGGAAGACCGTAGAACCGTGCACGGTTGTTGGCAGTTTCCTCGTTACCTGGACCCCCAAGTCGGGGGTGGATGTCGGTCGAGTTTCAGCCGCCAGACAAATTGTACCGCCGCGCCGAAGCGTTTTAACGCTCGGTGGATCGCAGGGCGAAAAAGGAAGAAAACAGAGGGGAAGAAAAGGGAGGGGCGAAAACGCTGGAGGAGACGAGAGAACGATAAGAAAAGGGGAGGGTCTCGTCGGAAGACAAAGTCGAATTCGAAGGAAGAGGGTGGCGAGCTACCCCTCTCAGCGAAACCGTGTACACTCGTTAAGGTCGGCCCCGTAATATTTCCGCCGAGTAGTTTGCCGAGATAATTAAATGGTTTAACGATATAATAACCCAGCCACGTCGGCTGACTGTCTCGAGCCACCTACAAAACACGCAAACAGAAACCGAACCGTGTGCGCGCATACCTACCGCGAGGGGAAACACTGCACTGGGTCTATCTTGGGATGAACAAGGCGTCGAGGATGCGTTCCTCGGTGGAAGCTGGAAACGTCTAAGAAACGTTTCCGGAGCTTCTCGCTAACTATAATAATCTTGACCTCGGTTCACCCGTCAGCCTGGTATTCATGGCACTGGCGGACGACCTAAACCGTTTTCGCCTCGAGAAGATCATTTCCGGTATTTGCGGAGGGCTTCTCTCCCCTAGTTCCTCGGGGGTTATACACGAGGAGTCGAGGAAATTGATCGGTTAGGACCTAACCGTTAGGTCGTAGCTTTTGCGACGGATATGCTGAGATTCGGATGGACTGTATGTGTGTGCGTGTGTGTGTGTGTGTGTTTACGTCACAGAGGATCGTAACTGATTGAAAGTGTTTTCCAGCAAACAATTTTTAACCACCTTTCCTGTATATTTTGGGTCACGTTCTCACAAGAAGACCCATGAATGCAATTACAGCTGAATTTGATTTTAAAGTATTCAAACATCCAAATTTACGATGAATAAATACAAACCGTTCTACACCAGAGGCTGTCATGGTGCCTCAAATCATAATAGTACATTCACAAGGTGCAACGACACATTAGAAAATTTTGTGGTTATAGGATCGAATTTTTTGGCTGCCCCAAATATATCGAACTACCGTATTTTCTATTTTGATAATGAAAGAGCTTTCTGTCTACGTATCTCTGTAGATTATTGGTCTAAAAGTGAACGAACGAAATCGTTCATCCTCCGTATGGTATATTCTCTTAAAAAATGAACGACATTAATCGTAGAGGAATAAAACCTGAACAGAGTTTGTTTCAATTCCGTAAATTTTACGGCGTCTTCGCGGAAGTGATCCTTCGCGAGCCATCGAGAAAAGGGGAAGTCATTACGTTTCCCCCCTCTTGTCTTCGCGCGCGAGAGCCTTCTTACGGCACCTGCGTCGTCGACCAAGCTGCAGGTTCTTGTTCTCAGCAGTTTTCACCGTCGGTGGCTACTTGCTGACTCAACCAGCCGTGAAGATACCCGGCCGCTAAAAGATCCCGAGAAGATCGTCTTAACCTTCTTCTATATCACATGTCGTTGACGCCTGAAAAGCTTCCAGCCGGCTGTTCGTGCAAGAGATTATGAACGTCAGCAGCCGCGCGCTCTACGAACCGTCTCCCCTTCCGGCTCGATGGAAACGCACGCAACGCAGCGTAATTTTTGTCGAAGTGCCAGTGCCCGTCCCTCGTTTTGTTTGTTCAAGCGAGCACACATGGAACAACTGCTCAAAAGACCAACGCGAATTATTTATCGATAATATTAACGATAATATCTTACGATACAGATCACACGCTCTCTTTCTCTTTCTTTCGATTTCTCGCAGAAATCAGCGACAACAGATAAACGTGTACTTGTACATACGATTCCTCGATACCGATAACGGTCAAGAGGCTCGAACAGACTACATTTGTAATGGATAAGGAGTATAATATTTATTAAAAAAAAAAAAATCGGACGACACGAGATATCGGCTTCGTTCCACGAGAGTCGAAGTAGATTTTAGAACACTCATAATCTGGATAAAGAGTTTCGAATAACGAAAAAAAGATAAAAAAAAGATACTTCGTCATTTTTAATCCTATAAACATGGAAATTCTAATTTTTACTCGACAGTCGGCAAACAATTATTTAACCTCATCGACTCTTTAAAGTTCGGAATGATGCCCATAAATACTGCAACGTTTCACTATCTATTATTCGAATAAAATTATGCCCAACTCTGAGACACAGAAGACAATGTCCAGAAGATACCGTTTGCATAACTCCATAGAATCCAAAAATACGCGTCGACTGAATACAACATTCTCGTCAACAAGTATCACCAACGTCCGAAAAACCGCTATCGTTACTCCTTAAACCCTAACCGACAACGAACCACCCGTTAACAGGCCAGTGGAACAGGGGTCTAGATTAAAGTGACCACACACACACCTTTCGGCGTGCGGTACGTGTTTTCCTTTCGATTCCCCGTGGTAACCGAAAGGATTTAAGATCGCCCTTAGAGAGGGAAGGATCGACCAGGGAGGGTAATGCTTGAGGTAGGGATGAAGGGATGGGAGAACGGTTTAAAGCGCGCGGAATCCGGGGGATTCTGCTAAGGATTTGCCGCACGTAGCCCCGACAACGCCGCGGATCCGTGGAAGTTTCTATGGTCCGGGGGGTTTGAGGTGGAAGCGCCTAGGAGTCTAAAGGGTCGGGGGATGGGGTGAACCGAGTAGTGGATGTCAGGAATGCTGATTAGTCGGTGCTCGTGCGCCGTAACACTATAACCTATCCGGCTTGGAAACCGGGCAGGAAGACTCGGGATAAGATTCAACCGGGTGGGGGATTGAGGAAAGGGGGTTGCAGATCAGGGTGGTGGGGAACGGATGAACGCGACGGAAGAGGAAGAGAGAGAGAGACCAGGAGGGGTGGAGGAAGAGGAAAGAGAAGCCGGCGGCTTAATAGGGAGGAAATTGAGTGCTCGAGCAATATTGAGGAGGATTCGGGATTCGCCAGGATCGTATCCATCCGTCCGTTTTCGGATTCCTCGGGCGTGCATCGGCTTCCTCCTACCATCCCGTGGCAGGGATTCTCATTCGCCGCCGGCGAATCCGTTTCACGCCGGTCTGAACGCGAATCAGCCCCGGCCCGTGAGCATTCACCGACAGACCGTTCACGAACCAACCTCGGAACCATCGTACGGGGGAGTAGAACGGAGTCCGGGGGGAGGACTCGCGTAAATTTTCGACGAAAAGGATTTGCGGGCGGAGAATTGAATTTTTCCTCGAGATAAAAGCCGACCCCGCCGGGGGAATTTACTGAACGTATATATGTATATAGGTGTATGTATACCGGTGGGAAGATGTTGAACGCCGGGGGGCTCGCCCCGATCGACCACGAACGAGACACAGACGATTCCGATTTATTCGCGGATGTTCCGTGGCAAGGCGAACGGTTGCGTGAAATAAAGACAGTGTGACAGGGGCGGATTTAATATGATCGAGAACGAATGTTTAAAACACTTTTACGTTCCTTATTTAATCAATTTAATCGTTTACGGTCGAATGTCATCACAGGTGTGACATCACACAAAGTTGAATTAACAATGGACTCCAAGATGTGAGTCGGTAACTATGGAATTAAAAGGTCTAGCACATTGACTGCCACAGTGAAATAGGCCATACGTAGCCAGACACATTTTATTTCCTTTTTTTTGTCATAAACCAGACGCCTACATCATCTTACTGACATTTTTGGTAAGATCATACTACAAAAATCAATAAAACCATTTCGTATAAAAAATATTTTACAAATTTGCGTCATCATAATACAAGTATTCGGATACTTCTGGACGGTAGTGTACATGTCACCCACATTTGGTTGACGTGGCAGTCAAAGTGTTAAAAGTTCAATGTAATTCCGCTTGTATCGCGAGTATGTCGTATCTCAGAAAATCTAATAAACAACACACGAATCGCGAGTAATGGTTACACACATCGGATCTAAATCCAATTCTCCGGGAAAGCTGTTCCACGCAGAGCCCAGTTGAAACCCGTTGACCGTTTTTCCCGGCAAAACTGTCCCCATTAGTTCCATCGACAACAAATTTCCCGGTGTAATCTCTTTTTCATACAGCACCGCGCGTCGGGGGTCGCGCTCGCGGCTCGGTTCCATTCGGCGATCGGTTTCGAGTTTAGAAATTTATCCCGGGTATCGTTTCGATAACTCCCCGCGCAATAAAGGTAACAACCGACCGGGACGAAGCAAAAAAAAAAAAAAAAAGAGCCACCTCCCGTCTCCCCCGTATCTACAAATCACTTCGGCGGCCATATCGATTCGCAGGGTGGGCCGCGCGCGCGATACCGGAAATTGATTTCGCATTAGAAGGCGGGATAGTTCAATTTCGGCAACTAGATGGAACGAGTGGGGGTGAGATATCACACGAATACCAACCGTTATTTGTTTTTCGTAGACATAATAGCAGGAGGGAGAGGCCTTGAAAACTCAGGGAAAAAAATAAAAAAAATAAATTAAAGCTCTCTTGAAACCATGCTATACCTGATAAAAACATTTTCCATCGGATTGTTAATAACAGAGTAATCTCTACTGATCACGATTCCTGGTTCACCCTGTATAGGGCGAAGGTACAACCGATAATACTGATATAATACCGATATTTTACGTTTCGGTAGAAGTCCCTAGTTTAATATTTAATTTACCGTTCAATATTACTCGAACAATGTCCCCCGGATAGTTTCAACGGCAAACACGAGACGTCACGATCCGACCTGTATAACTCGATGTACAACGGAACGTGAGCGCGCGGTAGAGAGTAATTTATCTTCCATTGGCGTGCACTCACCCCGATAATGGCGTTGAGTTCGGTCATGGTCACTTGTTTGGCTCTGTCAACAGCAGTGGCGACTTGTTGTTGATGTTCCTGGGAGAGAAACGGCAGGATCTGAGCAATTATGGCGTTTAACCTCTTCGCTATCTCTGTCTGAAAGCAGAAAGGAGAACGATCCTTATTAAACGATGGAACTAACCGCTTCGCGAATCAACGATCGCAACGATTCCGTATATATACCAGCGTAATTGAACGGGGATAACGATCGCCCTGACCGCTGCTCCCCTGTGTCCCCTCTTTTATCGTCCCTCCCCTATTCCTATCCAGCGATGTATTCGAGGAGTATCATTCATCGGAGGCAACTCGCGTCGAATATATACGTCACTTAATTCAAGTTTTATTGAGACCACCCCTCTCTCCCGATTACCCCGCCACTGAATCCTGTCGATTCAAATTCTAATTTCCACTTCTGTCGCCCGATGAACCGGTTAATTCATTGTAACGACATAATAATCTCGATGATCGCGCGTAGAACACGATGCTTGGCTCGATTCCACGAGATCGAACAGGTTTCACTAATACAATATTATCTTTTTTAAACTTGTACGATCAACCATGGAGATTTTCATGATTTTATAAATGGCGTCAGATAGGAAAATTTTATGTTTACACTATATTACGACGTATTACTACATACAGATTCATTTGCAGGTTCTCAACTGGTCCTAGATTCGATCAGACAACTTTCACAGGGCATTCCCACTGATGTATGTGGTGTGATTTGAATAATTTGACACACACCGAAATACAATAAAGAAATGGTCTTCGTCTTTTTGTTCAAGACTTAACTTCCTTAACAGCAATACGATACAACACCCAAGACCTGCTGCTAAACATTCAGACATTTCAGACCAAGCACTCTTACCGCAGCCTTCAAATATGAAAACAAAATCGGATACGATGTGGATCGCATCAGTTTAAACTAGTCTAAAGATTCGAGCCGGTCGAAAGCGCCTTCGAAACGGCTCGAGAATAGATTGACATCACTTAACGACTGGACTCTCCCGGTCAACAGTGTATCTCCTCTTAATCAGTCCGAGTCACAGAACTAAGTACATATATCGTTCATGAAAGCGGTTCTGTCGAGGCATTGCTACAAATTAAACCCGACGAAACGGCCTGGGAACAGTCTTAAGGCTCCTTTGCCCTTTAACGGCCCGAAATAAGGCGATATTAAAAAAAACTTGCTGGCATTTATTTATAATACGTTCAAGTAAATAAAAAAAAATGTTGGTTTCAATATTCGTGCAGCGTGGCAAATTATATGTGGCGCTAATCATTTTGATTCAAAATTGCACTGTACAAAAGGTGCCGACGATATCTCTTTGGTTTTATATTCCCGATTATACGGCCGTTCTTATTAAAACTCCGGATCCCATTTAAAATTCGAATGCCCAGGGGGGTAACTCTGATCACGGGCTCAGCGAAATTAAACCGTGTATACCCGGACGAATCGGCTGGAAGTGGTTGGTTAACGATCGTGGGGGTCGTCGTTCGTCACTTGTCCGGAACAGTTGGCGGTTTTCCGGGAGGGTCACGCCGCCGCCAGCGAGGGTGACTTCTTGCTCGATGGAGGGACCTTAATTTCCGGCTGAGGTGGCGGTAGATACAGGTAATATCGCACGGGATCTGTGAAAGAATGGGGAACCCCACACCATGCACGCTGCCGTCGATTCAGCGCGGATTTAATTTAATCCCCGTCAGTTCTGTTCTGGCCGGAGGGTGTCGCAAACACCCTCGACCGGTTACTTGACCGCACCTGCATCTGCATTCGCTTTTCCCATCGTAAGGGTGTGTTCGGTGAACCTTTGCCTTATTTAACTTAAGGGGCCTCGGGGCGTCTCATGGTCTCTTTGTTGGCCTCGTATCGTCGTGACGGAAGGGAACGTGTTTCTTGTGTTACCTGGTCCGAAGAAGCAGGTGTAACAGTCCATTGGTTCTTTCGATTTCGGTATTGTGGACCCGTGACCTGGATAATCTTTTTTACGATAGTTAAATAGGGTATATCAGGGTTTTGTAGGTTGTTTATTGTCGGACTTTTCTGTACATATCGCAATTGTGAACCCATCGATCTTGTTTATTGAATCTTGTTTATTGATCTTAAAATTTGAAAATTTCAAACAGTGGAGTTAGTGCTATTTCAAGAGCTACTCGATCATGAGATCCTTCTCACCTAGGGTCACATATTTATCAACTGGTACAACAGAGTACGCAATAACACAACAAGAAAATATAGTTCATTCCATCTAAACATTCATAATGTGCCACTCTCAATCGCAAGGTCAATTATACAACTACCCTGTCGTTTCCCTTAGATCACGTTCCACTACCGTCTCGCACACGAACATCCACGTCCTCCCAGGCATCCTTCCATAAACGTGGTCCAAAGCCGCAGAATTTCCGATTTCCCAAAGTACTTTCGTGGAATCGTGCCACTTGGCTCAACACCACCCCTCCCCAATTACAAGATCCTGTATCGTGGGGGAAGAATTGGCGCGGTCGCTCGTTTTCCATTAAACGACGCCTGTTGGCAACGGTTTTCTCACGTTTGTAAGACACCAGGATGCAAGATAGACGGAGAGAGAGAAATAAAAAGCCTCCACGGCAACGGAAGAAGTCGATTCGTCGTGCAACAGGAAGTGAAGTGTACTTAGGTGTCCGACGTTGGAAACGAGGGCCACCGATGCACAGCCCGAGCTTCTGCGCGACTCATAAACGGTCCGTATAAACTAGCTTGGCTGCAGTCGGTATAAACGGCGAGCTGGCCCTGTTCTTCTCCAGCAATTTCGCCCTCCCCCCCTCAACCCCAACCCGTGCTCTGGGGGTAACGCCAACACACAAGCACATCGCACGAGGGTTTGGCCGCCTGGCACCAGCCGTTTTCACTGCCGTTTAAACGAGCCTCGGATGCTAATTGAAATATCGCGGCCGCTAAAATTCTTGGCAACTTTCCCTAGCTCGAGCCGAGCTGCGCTGACGAACGAGCGGTGGAAGAAAGGAGGACGGGTAGAGGAGAAGCGAGGCGCGAGAAAGAGGAAAAAGCCATCCGCGAGAGGGAACGGGGGAAGAGTTGTTTTAATTACCCGTCGCCCTTCCGAGTGCCAGTCGTTAGACCACTAATTATAACGCACGGGAAAATGAGTCGCGCCATCCTTGCGAATGAACTGCGCGAGATTGAGAGAGAAAGAGGGAACCCGTTATTTGCTCGGGGTAACAGCTGTACGAAGTGCACCGATGGTGATCAGCATTTCGAAAGGATTACGCGGGGATCGAGCTGTAGATTTGAGTAGGGGGTTGATTCTTTGAGCAGAAATGAGTCCAGAGTCGTTTATTTAATTTTACTAGATATCCTAGGATATCTGCGTAATAGGCTGTGTTTATTGAGAAAATTTGGTTATTCTTTGAACAGAAATGAGGTAAAAGTCTAAGATAACTATGTCTAATTTTCCTAGGCATTTTGCTTCGTGTAACTAACAAAATTACATTCTAAAATTCGATTGCTTTCGAAATGCTGGTGCTTAAGTTTCACAAGTGGTAAAACGGTGGCAACTTTCGCGTTAATTTCGAGGGCGTCGATACGATTTCGTCGGGCAATCGTGTTGCCTGGAATTTCTCGGTGTCTGCCAGGTAAGAAACGATTCCAGAATGATAAGAGGGAAAAAAAACTGTACACGAAGGGTGACATCGCGAGGGAAGAGACGAACGACGAGGGCCAGAGAGACCGTGTGCAAACGTAATTGCGTTGCCAAGAAGTTTTCCCCGGCTTGGAGAGGTAACCAAGGAAGTAATGAACGGCTCAGATGCTTCACCAACCGTGGAGGAAGAAAAAGAACGGAGGGGACCGAAAACAGAAACACAGAAACGCGGACGGGAAACGTGGAAGGTGAGTTTTCGGCGCTCCGAATTCTCATTGTCCTGGATTTCGTACCGGGAAAGGGATGAAAACCTTGGCCGGAATGAATTTTTCCCTACCGTCGCCAAATTGGACCGTGAAGATTGCTGGTCCGTCCGAGAGTATGTGTCCCCCTTTTTTTCCCTCCCAAGGAAAAACGTTTCCCCCGAAACTCTGAACAGATTTTCCTACCTTAAAATATTCCACCGACAGAGAAGTGGATAATCTATTGTGATGTGACGAATTCCGAAACGTATACCGAGACTTGCTGGTTTTTTCATTTCTATTGCATTACAATAAATAAGACAGCACAATGCGTCTGGATAGTATCTTTTTCTTATGATCTTATTATTCCTCAGCACAGTTTATATACAAAGGTATTCTGAAAAAAACACGAAATCTCTTATTCGATTTGGTGATAAAAATTTCGGCAAGTGGAAACGGACAGCACTATACAGACACGCGAGCGAAATGGTACACAGTGTGTCTCAGGTCGGACAGTAGTGATTCTATAAGCAAAAATAGGTCGAAAAAGAATACATTTTTTTCGTGTGGGGTTTCGTTTTCGAGATAATCGAATTTGAAAATTTGCAGATAAAAACCAGAAATAAGGACGAAAATTTCTTAATCTCGAGGCGAAGAAGATTGCGAAATCTTCGAGAGAGATGTCGAGGAACGCTACGGGGTTAACGGTAATACAAACGTTGAAGTACGTGCATGAATCCTGTACTACCATCGGGGTACAGGGGGTTGTTTTCCTTTTTCTCTCACGTCGCCGTTCTATCATAGAGGCATAACGCGGGGTCGTGGCATACCGAGAGACGAACACGCGGCCGCGGCTCGTAATATCGCGAGAAAGCCGCAAGAAGTTTCAGCAAAGTGCCTCTCCTGTTCGGGGGTTGAGGTATACACGTACTCTCGATTCGCGCGCGTCCGCGCGCGTGTGCGCAACGGCGTGCTCGAGATCCGCGCGCTAGCACGCGAAATAGGCGTACTCTCTACGGGAGCACTTCCTATACACGCTCGGCTGAGCACTCCCCCCCTCCCGTATATATCCTAAAAGCTGTCGGCGCAACATTCGCGAGCATAAAAATGCAAAGCGACGAAGTGCCGCCGATAAAATTCCTTTGCCTTGTGAAACGGTGACGTGAACCGAATGCCCTTACCCACCCACAACCGTCTACCTCGATTCCGCTTCCCG